GCTCAGGGAGGGCATTATGAATTTGTTCGTATGCCTTTTGGTCTGACAAACGCCCCAGCCACGTTTCAAAGAGTGATGGATAACGTTTTGGCGGACCTCAACGGAGACTGTTGTCTAGTATATCTGGATGACAACATAGTTTTCTCAGGAACACATTAGCGACCTAGGTTCCGTATTGTCCAGATTAAAGCGAGCTAATTTGAAGATTCAACCAGATAAGTCTGAGCTTTTGCGTAAAGAGATCGAATACCTGGGACACATTGTCACAGAGGATGGCATCAAACCAAATAAAATCTTTTTTGAGTCTGTTGGGATATTATAGAAAATTCATCCGGGATTTCGCAAAGATCACCAAGCCTTTAACCAAACAATTAAAAGGGAAAGCTTGAGTGTTACTAACGAAAGAATACAAAAAAGCGTTTAATGTTTGTAAGACCTTACTGTGTAATGATCTCCTCTATTGAAATACCCTGACTTTAATAAACCTTTCATTCTGACGACAGATGCTAGTAATGTGGCGATATGTGCGGTTCTATCACAAGGAACGCTGGGTTCTGACAGACCGGTATCATTCGCAAGCAGAACTCTCAATGATCGAGAAACAAGTTTCTCGACCGTTGAGTAGGAGATGCTAGCTATTATATGGGCAACTAAATATTTTCGCCCCTATCTGTTCGGCCAAAAATTCCAAATAGTTACCGACCACAAACCCTTAACGTGGTTGATAAATTTCAAGGAACCCAACTCCAAATTGGTCAGATGAAAACTACAACTATTGGAGTATGATTATGAAGTATTGTACAAGAAGGGATCTCAGAATGTCGTGGCCGATGCCCTAAGTCGAGTAGAGATACAAACAAATTGTATTTCCGTATTTTCACCCAACAGAAATCTTACAGGAAATCCTATCACTGATCACAGATTACACGCCATCTTCGCTTCAAAAGCAGTTTTTAAGCTGATAGAGGAGGCTTACCTCAAACACTTTAAGAACTATAAGTTAATCAGATGCAAGGATTTAGACGTTACTACCACACAAGAACAGGAGACGGCGATTAGGGACTATCATCAGAACAATAATTATCGTGGTATCGAAGAGACCCTGAGTCACTTAAAAAGGACATTATACTTTCCGTACATGAAGCAAAAGATTGCCAAAATAATCAATCTTTGCGACATGTGTCACAGACTTAAGTATGATAGAAGGCCACCTAAGCCAGTATTTCAAAAAACTGAAACTCCCGAGGTACCTTTACAGATAGTGCATACGGACATTTATACGATTAATGGTCAGACAATCCTTACATTAATCGATAAGTTTTCTAAATTCGGCACTATTTTTGTTTTGTTGGGGTGCCAACAAAACTGGTTTTTAACCAAGGCGCTGAATTTTCTGGGAAGATTTTTTCTGATTTTTGTAAACAATACAATATTATAACCCATGTGACTTCATTCCAGCAGTCTACGAGTAATTCACCCGTAGAAAGGTTGCACTCTTCGCTAACTGAAATTTACAGAATTATTTATGAAACCAGAAAGGCTCATAAGCTGGAACGGGATCATGAAGAAATTTTATTCGAAACTCTTACCACTTACAATAATAGCATACAGTCTGCTACTAAGCATACTTCATTTGAACTACTTTCGGGAAAAACCCACATTTTTAATAAAGATATTGAATATAACTCCGAACATGACTATCTTCAGAAACTAAACGAATTTCAAGGCACATTATATCCCAAGGTTAAAGCACAGTTAGAGGAAAAGATGAGTCGCAGAATCGATAAACTCAATGAACACAGGGAACAACCAAACCCAGTCAGGACAGACGACATTGTGTTCCGCAAAGAAAATAGAAGAAATAAACTCACCCCCTTTTTTCTCAACATAAGGTACTCAAAGACAACAGAATCACACTAATATCAGCAAGAAAACAAAAGTTACACAAGTCTAAAATCAGAAACAGAAATAAAACAAAACAAATTCCTATTGATCTTACAGATTCGCGTTCGTCGCAACCCAGGACTGAAAGGTCCAACAATTGGGAAAAATAAGCTTGGGACAAGCTAAGATCGTTCAATCCCACAAATACCTATCACACATAATAAACCTGCAAGATTTTATTGATGGCGTCGTTAATTTCGAAAGAGCTATAAACCAATTAAAAATAAATACGGGTTCAAAAGCCGCGGCCGGCAGCCTTTCGACTAAACTTCAGCAATTAATAGATAGAGTAGATAGGTTACTTCCTAAAAAGAGACAAAAACGAGGATTAATTAATGGACTAAGTAGAGTCGTCAAAATAGTTACGGGAAACTCAGATGACACAGATGGACAAAGAATCGACAATAACCCAACAACAAGAGGGAGTTAACAGCAAGCGCGAACAGGCAAGATTTATTTAATAACGACATTAAGAGTAGATTCGAGAACATAACCGAACATATTAACAAAGAACAACAGATAATTAATCGTTATTTGAACGATTACAAGAATACTATTTTCAAAACAGTAAATTCAGTACATATCACGAATAAATATGAATATCGATCTATTTTCAAATCATTTAAGCAATATAGAAGAAAGTATGTTACTAGCCAAGCAAAATATTGTACCAAATTTTATTGTTTCCGAACAAGAATTAATCGTAATCAAACAAGTAATAAATAACCCAGAATTGCAAGAGTTAGCTAATGAACACATTCTCGACATATTAGAATTAGCCATTTTCATGATCGGAATTAAGATCAACTTTAGAATTATGATACCTATTTTTAAGCACGAAATGTATCAATTCACACACCTTATTCCTCTACCGATAAACGAAGCTAAATTCCTAATCTTACCCAATTACATGGCATACCATAATGCCAAAGACGTATATTATATATTATATTATAATATATTCACGTTAAGCACAGCTAATTGTAAATTCAAAGAGATAGGGAACCAAGAACTAATAACCGAAGTAGAACCAGCACACATTTTAATATTAAACACAAATAGCACGACCATTGTATCAAAATGCTCGACTGAAATTTTTGTAAAGGGATCGGCGTTAGTTACGTTTAAAAATTGCGAGGTATTCATTAACCAGATCCCCTAAGACATGGTAGTAGCACAATTCGAAGAAAAAATACAGGCTACAATCCCAATCGTGCAAAACATTAACTTCACCGAACATATTGAGGATATCAACTTACACAAACTTAACTTAAGGTCCATCAATGCTTACAACTCCATCTTTTATTGGAAAAACTTTACGACCACCAATTTTGGAGCGGTATACTTGTTAATATTGGTTGGAGTCCTATTATCAATCATTCTTATCAGCACAACGAAGAGGGTTGTCTTTACCACCATACCAGAGCCGAGTTTCGTGTCGTCCACGCCGTCACTTTGGCCGTCACTTCAATCCAGGAGGGGAGGAGTTACCGACCAGCCGGTAGGTAACGAGCCTCCAGCTAAACCTCCCAGAGCTACCCTGGAAATGGTACGCTAACTGGGTGGCCACTTACTTTGGATTGTAATTATGTTGCAATCTAACAACAGCCCAAATCGGGACAACGACCACTTGAGTCGTTGCCCCGCCGAAAGATTGCTGAGACTGCAACAGGATACCCCTACCCCTAGGCACCGGATACATGACACGAGCAGACGATGGAACAATGCTTTGTAAACATTCGTTTTACATTCGGTGGCAACTTGGCCACCGCTGTAGAATATATGAATTAAGCCTAGACCTTCAACTCAAAGGCAGTGGACACTTAATCACAACTCGTACTATTTAAATTATTTATTGGGATCAATCTACATACATACATCTTAACTTCCACAAAAACCCTTGGAGGATACGTGGACATTATCCTGGAACAGGATAGAACCATAACTCCCACAGCTTCGCTCTTAAATATTAAGACAATATTTTTTAAATAGTGCAATTTATGCAATGTTTATATCGAATAATAAGATTAAAAACTACAAAAACGCATTTATGTATTTACAAAATGCAAATATGCTGATTGGTATATCACAACTGCACAGAATTAAAAAATAACTAAATATTCATTTAAATGCAAATCATTTATGACTTTACTGATTAAATTTTTAAGTTAACATCAGAGATATCAACAAATTTGCACATTCAATAGAAAAAATTAAAATTCCGAGAAAGGCGAACTAAAATAATAATATTATTGCTCACTTACACATTATACACCAATTATACAACAATTTGAATGGTATATTTTTACTACACTATCAAAAACCGGTCCAAATAGATTTTCGCCAAAAAAACGTCTTTTGCTTATTCTGGCAGCAATAACTGTAAAGAGCATTAAAATTCGATAATAGATTGACTTTTTGCTTAGTTTCTTTGTTTAGAAGATAGCTAGTGCTTTGGCGAAATCATCAAATGAATCGTTAAAGCTTAAGGAAAAACTTTACCAAAGGAATTTTTGATACTCAGTTTAGAAGTGCCATTTTTCGACGTTTGAAGAGATTTTTGACTAAATTGTAATTTTAGAATGTGTGTTAAAAATAGTAAAAAGCCTTAAATTTAAGCGGTCAAATTTTTTAAACATTTATAATGTCTTAAACTATTTTTTGGCGAAGACACGGATTCGATTGGTTAAACGGATTAGCGTCCAGAATTTTTGAAAAGAAAATTGACCTTTTTTCCAATTGGAAGCGATTGGGGCCACTTGGGGAGCTTCAATAAATCTTAGCAAATCAGTTTAAAGTTATTATAATGTGATAAAAATGCATATTAATATTGTTAACCAGTGGATTGGGCTGTGCGTTGATTCCTAGTTTTCTTAGTGATAGATTTATATATATATAGGTATATTCTTAGGTCTAAAACGAAGCTTCCAAAAATCCGTTGGGTAACATAACATGTTAATGACAGTTTTGCAGCGACTTCTAAAACAATTTGTCAATTAATACAAAAAATCTTTTTAAATTTTTTTTAAATAATCTTTTTGAACTCTCAATTACAGATACTGGATTTTTCGTTCATGGGGTCGAATCGGAACAAGTATTGGAAGCTCTAAGGTTGAGGAGTATGACACAAGTTACTCCGCCAAAAAAAAATTCAATGAAATATATGCTGACAAAACTGGAAATGAATTCGAACAACGAGGCAACTTTGTTAAAATTACCGGTCGTATGTACCCAATAGAAATTCAGTATGATGTTGACTCAAAGTTGTTTACCCACAGCTGTCATTCAGTTGAGTCGAAGTTAGATACTTCCTTGCAAAATTTAATCAGGCTCATGTTTGATGTTGATTCTATGAATAGAACATTAATGGAGTTTCAAATTGATACGAATAAAATGCCGTTGGGGAAGCTAAGTGTAAATCAGATTCAATCTGCTTATGGTGTAATAACAGAAATTTTTAAATTAATAGAATCCGGAACCACTAATACAAAACTGATTGATGCTACGAATAGGTTTTATACATTGATTCCTCATAACTTTGGAATTGAATCCCCAACAATAATTGAAACACACAAACAAATCGAAGATCTTCGACAAATGCTTGATTCATTAGCTGAGATTGAAATAGCCTACAACTTAATTAAAAGAGAGGACTCAACTGATAATATTCATCCTTTAGATAAACATTACGGGCAATTAAAAACTGAATTAGTTGCACTAGATAAAAGTAGTGAAGAATTTTCAATTCTAAGACAATATGTAAAGAATACTCATGCTTCTACCCATAGCTCCTATGATCTTCACGTTGTAGATGTGTTCAAAGTTGCTCGCCAAGGGGAAGCAAGGCGTTATAAACCATTTAAGAAGCTACATAATAGAAAATTGTTATGGCACGGATCTCGATTAACCAATTTCATTGGTATATTATCACATGGTTTGAAAATTGCTCCCCCAGAAGCACCTCCAACAGGCTATATGTTTGGCAAAGGCATTTATTTTGCTGATATGGTATCAAAATCAGCTAATTATTGTTGCACAAGTCAACAAAATTCAACTGGATTAATGCTTCTTTCAGAAGTTGCATTAGGGGATATGATGGAATGCACTGCAGCAAAATATGTTACAAAACTACCAAAGGATAAACATAGTTGTTTTGGTCATGGTCGCACAATGCCAGATCCAAAAATGAGCTATATCAGAAATGATGGAGTCGAAATACCATATGGAAAAACAGTCACCAATGAAAATTTAAAATCAACGTTATTGTACAATGAGTACATAGTATATGATATGGCGCAAGTTAACTTGCAGTATTTGTTTAGAATGGAATTTAAGTATAGGTACTAAGTAAGTTTAATAGATAGTTCATATAGATGAAAAAGTGTATCAATGTTGTTCACTTTTTCTAACGAACAATTATATTTTCTTGTCTTGCCACTAAAGAGTTGGTATGGTTACATTTAAAAAACCTTTGTTTGTGCTTTCAATAGATTTAAGTACTTTAAAAAAAATAAAAATTATTGAACTATCAAATTCACAGTTGCCGTCTGCTTCAAGCAGGAAAACGCGAAAAGCACGGAATTTTAATTATAAATTTTCAGGCTTTATATGATTTAAAATTAAATAAAATTGTCGTATAAAAAATTTGGAGTATACATATATAGAAAACCTTCCTTGGCTCCAACTACAAATTAGATGTGGCAGAGTTGTTTCTAACGGCTTGGAGTGAGAAAGAGAATAAAATAATGTAATACCTGTGGCGGCATGCATAGGCAAGCTTATATAAAGAAGAGTCACAGAGGCTTTTTCGTGAAGACCAACCAAAAAAACATTTTTTTTAGAACTTTATCCAAGATGCATGTGTTATGAGAGCATGCGTTATGTAAACAATATGTTACATTGGACTTACATTTTTTTTAATCTGACGATTTAATCATTTTGGTTATACCCTTGCAAAAGTGTGCACCGCAGTGAAGTAGACATCTCTGACCCTATAAAGTATATATATTCTTGATCAGGATCGCGTCCTGAGTTGATATAAGCATTTCCATCTGTCCGTCTGTCTGTTTCAACGCGAACTAGTCCCTCAGGTTTAAAGCTATCTGCATGAAACTTTCCCAAAAGTTGTCCTTTTATTGCAGGTAGTATATAAGTTGGAACGAGCCGGATCGTGCGACTATATCTTCTAGCTCCCATAGGAACAATCGGGAAAAACAATTCAAAAAAATTATAACTTTGTTGTTTTTAATTTTTGTTGTTGCTCTGTGTGATTTGATAATATTTAAATATAATGAAATTACGGTTTTAATTAAATTAAAATCGGATATCAATAGCATATAGCTGTCATAGAAACGATGGCAAAATGCAGCGCAAAAACGACATAGCTTCATTGTTATTAGTAATATAGGCATATAAATCGAAATGTAGTGGTTTTGTAATAACTGCAAGGGTATATAAACTTCGGCTTGTCAAAGTTTAATTCCTTTCTTGTTTTACCTTTAATTTAAAGATAGTAAATATTAAGATTAAAAGACTGGCTCGTGGTACTTATGTGTGTTACTTACAATTACTGTTCTTGATCTCAAATATAAACACAGCAAAGGCTAGAACCACGCCATTCGCGATATACAAGAGCAGATTTCCTTTTGCTGTTGCTCGTACTTGCTTTGGCTCGAACTCTACTCAATAGTATTTTTATACCCGTTACTCGTAGCGTAAAAGGGTATATTGTATTCGTGCAAAAGTATGTAACAGCTAGAAGGAAGCGTTTCCGACCCTATAAAGTATATATATTCTTGATCAGGATCACTAGCCGAGTCGATCTAGCCATGTCCGTCTGTCCGTCTGTCCGTCTGTCTGTCCGTCTGTCTGTCCGTATGAACGCTGAGATCTCGGAAACTATAAAAGCTAGAAGATTGACATTTTGCATGTAGATTTTAGAAGTTCCTACGCAGCGCAAGTTTGTTTCAAAATGGTGCCACGCCCCCTTTAACGCCCACAATCGCTTATATACGATTTTAAAAATTTAAATATTTCGGAAAAGTAAAAATGCAGTTTTATTGTATTTATCAATACCTATCGAAATGTAGAAGAAATTTTTCAAATCGGACCATTCGTTAAAAAGTTATGCGTGATCAAAGTTTCTATCTCCATCTCCCTCGCACTCCCTTTACCTGAGTAACGGGTATCTGATAGTCGGGGCACCCGACTATAACGTTCTCTCTTGTTGTATTTAACATTCTTTAATATTATTTCTTTTTCATCTTTTCATAACTCTTTTAATTTAAAATTTCTTCTATCTATTTTTTTCTCTTGTTTCTTTTCATGACAATTTAAATTCATTGCCACCAATATACAGAAATATGTTCTTTTAAAAATTGCTCAGCACCCCTTTCCCGGATGTATCGTTCAGCTGAAGAGAGCGGACGTGTTTCGCGCAAGATCCGGGAAAAGTTAAAGAAAGTAAATGTATTAAAGACAAATAAAATTTTAAAAACCAAATTGGTGTATTACAAAATAGGCAAAGAGAAATCAAAGTCATTTATTCTTATATTCTTTTTTATCCTTTCATAACTCTTTCAATTTAAAATTTCTTCAATCTATTTTTTTCTCTTGTTTCTTGTCATGACAATTTAAATTCATTGCCACCAATATATAGAAAAAAGATCCGAGAAAAGTTAAAGAAAGTAAATGTGTTAATGACAAATAAAATTTTAAAAACCAAACTGGTGTATTACAAAATAGGAAAAAAGATGCTAAAACAAAAAAAAATCAGTGATATGATTAAAACAAGTGCAAATTATTTTATAATTGTGCCACGCTAAAAGTTCAAAGACCGACAAATTATATAAGGAGTGCATAGGATCCGGGAGCCGAAGATACGGGTACTTCTCGTATATCTCTACGCGCGATGGCGAAGTGCGAAAAACGTCTACAAAGAGCAACCCGGCTCTACTGTCAGTCGATACCCAAAGAGCATGATCGTTGTCACCCTCTCTACTAACTGATACTCCCACTCCAACGGAGTTATCAATGTAAAACTCCCAACCTTCAGAAATGGCCCTTGGCGCATCAGGAACATGCAGCGGTAAAACTTCTGAAGTCGCACCAAAAATTACATTGGTTGTAATGCAGCAAAACCAATAACTTTTAGAGCAACGGCTCTTATCGCGGAATGGACGGCGATGTTGTCGAGTGCAGCGCCAAATACAACCTCAACTAAAAACATGAAAGGAGTCGAAGTTGATATACCCTGTTCTGTAAATAATATTCTCCAAAATTATTCATGTAATGCATTCTCAATAAAGGGTGGCCCACGAAAGATTTGCTTTTTAAAATCGCTATAAAAAAACAACGAGTATATATTTTTCAAAATTTTGTTTTTTATTGGATAGCCTGAACATTGCGGCTTATGTACGAGGTGTGTTCAAAAAGTAAGGTGACTTTGTATTTTCAAGAAAAACTATTAATTTATTTATCAATATTTATGTTGTCCCCTTCAAAGTAATCCCCCTCAGATACAATACACTTATGCCAACGGTTTTTCCAATCCTCAAAGCACTTCCCATAAGCACTTTTCGGTATAGCCTTGAGCTCTTGCAGCGATGCAGTCTTTATCTCTTCAATCGTTGCAAATCTCCGTCCTTTCATAGGTCTCTTCAGTTTTGGGAACAAGAAAAAGTCACATGGGGCCAAATCCGGTGAATATGGTGGCTGAGGCATTATTGTGGTGTTGTTTTTGGCCAAAAAATCTCTCACAAGCAAAGATGAGTGAGCAGGGGCATTATCGTGATGCAAAAGCCATGAATTGTTTTTCCACAATTCTGGACGTTTCTTTCGTATTGCTTCTCGCAAACGGCGCATAACTTCCAGATAATACTGTTTATTGACCGTACGACCATATGGTAAGAACTCCTGATGCACCACGCCATGGTAATCGAAGAAAACAGTGATCAAAACTTTGACATTTGATCGAACTTGGCGTGCTTTTTTCGGTCTTGGCTCGCCTGGGCTCTTCCATTGGGACGATTGGGCTTTGGTTTCGATATCATAACCATATACCCATGATTCGTCACCAGTTATGACCCTTTTGAGTAAATCTGGGTCGTCGTTGACGTCATTCAACAGCTCTTGAGCGATGCTCATGCGACGGTTCTTTTGGTCAAAATTCAGCAATTTCGGAACAAACTTCGCTGACACACGACTCATACCCAAAACGTTTGAAAAAATTTCATGGCACGAGCCAAGCGATATACCGACATCTTCAGCAACTTCTCTGATAGTGATTCGACGATTTTCCAAAACAATTTTCGTCACTGCTTGAACGTTTTCATCAGTTGTTGACGTGCTTGGGCGTTCAGAGCGAGGCTGGTCATTGGCATCTTCCCGGCCATCTTGGAAGAGTTTGTACCACTTGTACACATTTTTTTTACTCAGAACAGTTTCACCGTATGCCACTGTCAACATTTCAAGTGTTTCAGAGCACTTAATTTTATTTTTTACACAAAATTTGATGCAAATCCTTTGATCCATATTTTTCGATAGCAAAAAATCGCCGAGCTCGCAAAATAACTTGTAACTTTACGCCTCTCACAACCAAACGAAAGAGGATGTTCCATTGAAACTTGGTACAGATGTTAGGGAAGAGTGTACCAATATAACAAAACAAAAAAATCGATAATCGAAAATATGTTGCCCGCGAAATTTGAAAAGTCACCTTACTTTTTGAACACACCTCGTATGAAACACCACTTCGTTCATATGGCTGCCTCGGCTGGCTTCACAGTAGCCCATTCGGTCGACCCAATTTTTAAACATATTTTCGATGCTATGGCCTTCAATGGCATAATGGCGACTTCAATCTCCTGCTTTAGGACGTCAAACGTCTCTGGGTGGTTGGCGTAACACTTATCCTTGACGGCACCCAACAAAAAATAGTCCAACGTGGTCAAATAGCAGCTGCGAGGCTGCCAGTTGACATCGGCCATTATGCGATTTTCGAACGTACCGCGCAAAAGATCGATTGTGACGAGAAAAGAAAAACGGCCCAATGATGCCACCCGACCCGCACCAAACAGTCACACGCTGTGGATGCATTGGCTTCTCCAAGACGACGTGTGGATTTTCTGAACCCCAAATGCAACTGTTTTGCTTATTAACATAACCACCGAGGTGAAAAAGGGGCTTATCAGAAAACACGATTTTTCGGTAAAAATGGTCATCTTCGACCAAGCGCTCTTGAGCCCATTCTGCGAACCGAAAACGCATTGGATGGTCATGCGGCTTAAGCTGCTGAACCAACTGCATCTTATATGGCCTTAGGTGGAAGTCTTCGGTTAAAATCCGTTGCAGGGAATGCGCGAAATGTCCAACTCTTGAGCACGGTGCCGAGGTGACGTCGACGGATTCTCATTGACACTTTCGGGCACCGACCGAACTGGACGAGCACGTAAACGTATTGTTTTATCTATCAACGATACAGTCTCACGCCCACGCTTCACAAAACTATCCACAAACTGCCTGGAAGGCGCTTT